TTGTGTGCTTCCCAGTTTGTAATGTCGTGCATGTAGGAGTACGCAGTAGTACTGCTAACCACTTTGCTCCGGACACGCTCACGCAAGACTTGACCAGCTACTGGCCGGAGCCCATTGAAAACGGGTCAGTGTGGCAGGGCGACAGATAACAAGCCATGGCCCAAAGATATGCATAATATACGTGCCTAGGTACACAATAATAGTTATTTATTACGAAAAAGCTCCTGCGTCAAACAAGTTTGTTGTCGGCCAAGATGCATAAATTTCCTACCTCATGTCCACATGGAATCGCGTCAGGAGCGCCAACGTTCGCGGCTGTTCTAAACATTGTCTAGCGCAGGTATGGAGTAGCGAGTACTAGCCAACCACGCCCTACTCGGTCTGCAAAAGATGTAGTAGTACGTACTCCGTTCATGGCCCGGCCGATGTGAAGCACACGGTTGAACGGCAGCCCGAATGGCAGCCTGGCCAAACTGTCGGACAGATTGATTAGACGCAGTTGCAAGGCCATGTTGTCCTCGTCGAACCGCACACGCGACAGCTGCCAGGCTGCCAGGCATCTTACGTGCGCGCCGACGCTGCGGGATGACGAACATGATGTTTAGCTGGAAAGCCACCACCACCATGGCGCAGGGCGAAACCTTGTCCATTGCGCCGCATCCACACCATCGAGAAGAAACCGGCCTTGGTCGCATGCGAGTGCCTGCCCTCGGTGGAGGCCATGGAAGAAGCCGGGAAGCCTAGCGGCCGCCTGTCAGCCTGTCGGGTCGCATCCGATGGAAGCCCATGGCATCTTGAGCTTGGCCAGAAAGCCCAGGCCTAATTTTGGGAAAATTCTACTCCATAAGCGGGCCTTTTTTCGTCCTCACCACTCTAATTTCACGTAAATGTCATGCACGGGGGGCAAAAGGAGCAGGGCAATGTCCTTCTGCTTTCCAGAGAGGGAATACAGAGACACTGGCACGTTTGCTCGCTGTGGGCAGACAGTTCTGGCGGGATGCACCAGTGACCGGCGACATCAATTGTTACTATTGAGACGTCAACGGTCAAGTTCATGCTATTTTGTAGTGCTCTGTGGAAACTCAACCCTCACCAACTAGCGGCGGTGACTCAGTGGCACATGCAACGCCCAGCTGCCCTGAAACCGTCAAGTCCATGTCAGCGCCGGCAGCCGCCAGGGCACCGCCCTATTACATCAATGATTGTACCCAGCCAGCGCCTGAGACTAGGACTTGGCTCCATAAGTACTGACATGGAGGTAAGTGTCCACCTACCAGACCCTTGGGACCCTACGTGTCCAGTACCAGACGCCCTGTAGTTTAGCGGGCCATCAATCTCTCCAATCCCCAGCTTCTTCTGCCAGGCTTTAGCCGTCACATGGCCTTTGGCACGATAATCTCCCGCCAGGACACTCGGATGCCCCGGAGACCTCAGGACGCCAGGCTAACGGTCCAGCACCCAAGCCACGAGTCGCCGAGCCATCGCATCTCGGTCTTTTCAGAAGCCCGGCCCCGAAACGCCAGGTCCAGTTCATCAACTGTCAGTTGGGTTTGGTATGCTGGAAGCCCGTTCCCGAGCAAACTCGGATTTAGGCCAACATTCAGGAATCAAACCATGAGATGCGACAAGGGGAGTTTGGATCACCCCGCAATATCAGATGTGGTCATGTTCACCAAGTTTTGTCTTCATTTATTATTAAGAATAAACCGACAATGCCCAAGCACTACTCCGTACCTAGGTGAATAGATAGCTGCTTGGACAGGTACTACAAAGGTTTACAGCATCCACATGTGAATGTAAAAGGTTTCGATCCATGCCCGCCGTGTCCATGCTCTTGGGTCAAACTTGCATTGAATTCTTGGCATCTAGATTGCCGGCCCGTCCAAATCAAACCGCGCAGGCCATCCTGATGGTGTAATATCAATCTACTAGTACTACCCTTAGGTGGTTAATTTGTATACTCATGCCTTTCTTCTTGCCTTACCCTTTTACGGAGTAGTACTACACATGTTGTACATCGTCACTCACGCAGGCTGGCCCGGGTGGATCCACCATCTTATCGATAAGGCTGGATACCGCTTTCCAGAAAAAAAAAATAAACCAGCGACACCTCTGATGTTGAAGATCCAGCCCCAGCCCCACCATTATCAACAATTGAACCACGAACAGTTATCAATCATGGCGGATGATGGTATGCTTCTGAATTTTGAGCTGGGCTCTGGGCCTCTCCAGACCCAGGTCAAATATAAAGGCGGTCGATGGCGAGACAGGAAGCGCGCTGAGAGGAGCGCAAACCTGCGGCAAACCCGTCCCTCCTCCGACCAAACGCAAAACGACGACAGCTTTCGATCGTCAAAACGGCAAAGAGTCAATCACGACACATCAGGAATTCAGCCAAGCTACGGACAAACCTCTCGATATAATCGATCTGGCCACGATGCCGTAGAAAATGATGGTCCCGATCAGCATAAGTCCGACCCCTCGGCTAAGGGTAATCGCCAGGTTATCTCGCGCCTCTTTTCCTTCAATCCAGCTCAGACGACCGAAAGTAAAAAAGAAGAAGAAGAAGAATGGAAAGCACCACAACCCACCAATGCGCCACTCACCGATGTTGCCAATTTTGGTTCACTGACCCTCTCCACTCGACTTGTCGATGCCTTGGCCAAGATGAACCTCGAACGTCCTACCGCCATTCAACAAAAAGTCATCCCGCATATGCTGTCTAATAGTGGCGACGCCTTTGTACAAGCCGAAACTGGTTCCGGAAAGACATTTTCTTACCTCCTCCCCATACTGCATCGAGTTCTGATGCTCAGCAGTCAAGGCGACGGCAAACAAATACATCGAGATTCCGGTATATTTGCCATCATCGTTTCACCTACCCGAGAGCTTGCGAAGCAAACACATACCGTCCTTGAGCAGCTTATCAGACTCTTTCCATGGCTGGTATCGACCGCAATCACTGGTGGAGAGTCCAAAAAGGCCGAAAAAGCAAGGATTAGAAAGGGTGTTAACTTTCTGGTTGCTACACCCGGACGTCTGGCTGATCACATTGACAACACAAAGGCTCTGAATATGGGCACTGTCCGCTGGCTTATTCTGGACGAGGGTGACCGACTGATGGACTTGGGCTTCGAGGAGGATTTGAAAAAGACCATTGATGCTCTCAAGAATGTCCCGGTCGCCAAAACTACAGAAAACGGAACATCTCTCGAGAGTCTGCCCGCGAGACGAGTCACTGTGCTGTGCTCAGCTACTATGAAGATGAATGTTCAAAAGCTGGGAGAAATGAGTCTTGCCGATGCAACGTTTTTGGCTACCGAAAAGAGCGACGACGACAAAATTAACGAGGACATTGTTCACAAAGCCCCGGCCCAATTACACCAAACGTACATTATCGTTCCTTCCAAGCTTCGTCTAGTGACGCTCACGTCATACCTCAAATCTGTCTTCTCCAGGCGTGGACGCACTATGAAGGCCATTATCTTTATGTCATGCGCTGACACCGTTGATTTCCATTATGAAATGCTCCGCAACCCCAACGAGACAGAGTTGCCAGCAGCTGCACAAAAGGAAAAGGAGCTAATTGAGAAGACAGTCTCCAAGGCTGCGTACATCACGTCACCCGCAAGCCCAGACGTCATTTTGCATAGAATGCATGGCTCGCTCTCTCAACCGATCCGGACAGCAACCCTGAAATCCTTCTCCGCCTGCAAGTCGCCATCCCTGCTCATCACCACCGACGTGTCATCTCGAGGCTTAGATATCCCATCCGTGGATTTGGTCATTGAGTACGATCCAGCATTCAGTTTCGCCGACCACATCCACCGCGTGGGACGAACAGCCCGTGCCGGTAGATCTGGCGACGCCACGCTCTTCCTCCTTCCCGGGACCGAAGAAGGCTACATTGAGCTCCTCAAATCCTCGACCCCTCCCTCGTCCCAATCATATGAGAACATCCTCAAGACGGGCTTAATGAACAAGCTTGAGTTCCCTGTCGAAACCTCCGCCACCCCCACAGACGGCCAATCATACCACGATAAAGCTGAATCACTACAGCTTCACTTTGAACAGCGCCTCCTCAACGACAACAAACGCCTGGAGCTCGCACGCAACGGCTTCAAGTCTCATATCAGAGCGTACGCAACACATATCCGTGAAGAACGAGTCCACTTTGACATCACGCAGCTGCACCTGGGGCACGTCGCGAAAAGCTTCGGCCTCCGCGATCCACCTGGCGGCATAGGCGCGGGTATCGATCGCAAAGCCAAGAAGAAGAAGGGCTCGGCCAACCACAAGGATCGCCACTCTTCCTTCAAGGACGACGACACTTCATCAGCGGCTGTGGATCAGAGGCCAGCCATGGATATTATTAAGCAGAAGAGCATGATGTTGATGAGTGGCGCCGCAGATGAATTCAACATTGGTTAAGTTGAGCATCGCCTTTCCAAACCAAAAGAAAGAGGGGGGTTGGTTTTCACATGGAAATACATTATTTAGCTCTTGTTGGCGTAGCGAAAAGCCTAATCATGTCTTTTGTCTTGTTTTCGTCTCCTGAATAGTATATGCAGCATCACATGAGATTCCCGTTGACCCAACGATACACGATCCCCCCCCATCCATCCAAGGACTTGACTTCCTAAAACGCACAATCCATCCCAGTAGCCCCGAGCCCCGGATTTCATGTAAACAGGATTTCGCATGGCCCCTTAGAGCACACTAGTGCCTATCACTCAGCGGGTTCGCCAGACGTTGGGGATTTTGCCATGATGATGCCAAGCCCACCACCCACATGACGTCAGGATTATCACGCTGGTCCTCCGGAAACTTGTTTACGCGAATCATTGTACACCACTGAATACAAGTATAAATATCACGAGTATCTCGGTTGTTTCCACTTGATAAGAGGGATCTTAGACTGCAAAAAAAAGATCAAATCTCTGAAAACAAAACAAAAAAAGACACAATTTTTTCTACTTCATATCCGAGAACAAACAATCATGGCAGATCAAAAGGCTACTAGCGCAGTCAATAATGCGACTGATAATGTTTCCAACCAGGCAAACAATGCTGGCGACCAGGTCCAAGGCGGACTTGGATTCCTGACCAGCACGCTTGGCAACACTGTCGGCGGCGTGTCCCGAACGGTTGGAGGCGTCACCGGGGCTGCGACCAAGGGACTGGGAGATACGGTGAACAGCGTGGGCGGCGACACAGTCAGGCCAGTGGGCGACGGAATTACTTCACTTGGAGGTGGTCTTCAGGGTGGTATCAATAGTGTTGCAGGGGGGGTTGAGAATGCCGGAAACTGGAACAAGAAGCAGTAATATATAGTATGACACGGATGGAATAATACTTTTGGTGTTTTTTTAATTCTTCGTATCAACTTTGCGCCTCTCCGTACCATGTTCGTAAGTCGAACAAACCGTACCGTTCTAATCCTTCTTCTTTTTCTTCCCAATAAAAAGTACTTGCATTCACACTCTATGAGGGTTCGTGTCAAAGCATTTCAAAACCGATTCGCCAGAGTCATTCTTGACTGTAGTCGTGACATTTGCCACGGATTATGCAACAAAAAGCGCAGCGCTCCCTTTCAGGGGAACTTCCGGGCATCGTTGCTTAGACCTGCTCGGCACCCCAGCCTGCATCGGCCTCGCGCATGTTGCTAGGTGGCTCGATCGAGGGGATGAATTCGAGAGCAATGTAGCCGACACCGACAATGCCGACAATGCTGCCAGCAATGTTTCTGAGGACGTGCCCGCCAAGAAGAAGACCACCAAGAAGGATATAGACTACGATATGGAGTTAGATTTACTTTAGCCGCAGCCATGTCTCGTCTATGTTTCCACTTACAGATACCTCTTCCAATGAAGGAGAAGAGGAAGTTGGCGTATCGAGATACCTGAGGAGGGATCTGGAACTCTGAGATTTGTTAGCTGCAGTATCGTTTACAACTGACGTCACTAGACATTTACCAAGCAAGGCAATAGCAAGACCGAAAACGATCATGTAAGCGCCCAGGATAATCGATTGCCTGTCATCATCTATTAGCTTATGTGGTCTCGACGTCGCTTCTAGAGGATTGCGCTAGGCGGGAGCGTCTGTGTCTGCGATCGTAGTCGCGAATCGAAACCCCGCCAGCAAGGATGGAAACTTTTCTAAGCGGCGACAACGTACAGCTGGAAGCCGAAAATCGAGGCGATGCCACCGAGAATGGTGATGACCGCAACGGCCAAGTTGACAATTCGACTATATATTGAACATGCAAACGTCAGTGGCTGTCGAGTTTGGGGAGGGCAAAGCTGCTTGCCATGCGACACATACAAAATGTCAGAGAGCTCCATGATGATGAACGAGGGATACGATGCTGCGGTCTACAAGATAACGCAAAGCCCAGAGATAGAGACGGATATAAATACAAGCGGCAAAGGGGGGCGCTATCGATATAGATCCAGGCAACAGCTTTATGCTCTAGGGCGGAGCGGTGATGGCTGGAGCAATTGGTTGCGCGTCGCAAAAGAGGTGGTGGTAAAGTGAAGAGTCGATTGGGACTGAGTTGACGCCGACACTGACGTTACCGGCTGAAGTGTCCAACATCAGGGGCGACGCAATGATGGGTTGGATAAGTGGGCCTAGAAGAGGCAGCAACAAGCGAGCAACGTGGAAGGGGCTATTCACCGCCTACCGGTTTTGAGCTGGAATGGTCAGTAAGGCACAAACCTGAGCTTCAGGAATTCTGCCACTCTGGCGACTGCCAAGCTCCAATACTGCTTGCTGGCTGTCGCGACAACTGACGGCTTCGTGGGACAATTTGCGAAACAAAGACAGTACAAAGTCTCCGAGGTTCTTTGATCCCATGACTGTCACAGTACTCTAAGTGTAGACATTGGCGGACTCGTTGGGCGTTGAACCCCAATGAAGTGGACTCCGATGACCAAAATATCCCATCGGCAATAACTCAACATGATTATTCTATCCTTGTGTCGGAGGATGTCGCCTTCTCGGAGGAAACTGGCGCATAATTTAGGACACGGCGTGGTATTCAAGTCAATAGCGCTCAGCCGACGCACTCTGCATAGCCAAGCTGCATCCCAGCAAGATGCTGAAGTACAGAGCATCCGCAATATCGGTATAATTGCTCATGTTGATGCCGTATGTTGGTGCAATTGGTAGTATTGTTTTGTAAATGGTTGACTAATTGCGAAATTCAGGGTAAAACAACAACCACAGAGCGCATGCTCTACTACAGCGGCGTCACGCAAAGAGTTGGAGGTGAGTTGCGATACATGCGCCGTTTGATATGTGATATTCCATGATGCCAAAGGCAAATTCATCAACTGACCCTAACCTCTAGATGTCGATGCTGGAAACACCGTCACTGACTTTCTGGAGCTGGAGAGAGAGCGAGGTATCACGATTCAGTCTGCCGCCATTACCTTCAATTGGCCGAAAGCTCAGAATTGTACTCCTGGCACTCGTCCCCAGACGGTTAACTTGATTGATACACCTGGCCATCAAGACTTTAGATTCGAAGTTGATCGATGTCTTCCCATTCTCGATGGTGCTGTCTGCATCATTGATTCGGTCAAAGGTGTTGAAGCCCACACAGAACGAGTTTGGGGCTCTGCGCAAGAATTCAAGATTCCTCGCATCGTATATTGCAATAAGCTGGACCGTGAGGGTGCATCTTTCCAAAAAGCGGTGTTGGAAATTGGCACAAGGCTCAAGGGCTGGCCTCTCGTATGCCAAATCCCATGGTGGGAAAAGGAAGTGTTTGTTGGTGTGATAGACATCATCAACAGCATCGGGTACAGATGGAAGTCGGAACGCGAGAAGATTCACTATGGACCAGGTGAGTTGAAGGAGAGGCTTTCTGCTTCAAACCCTGACCTACTGGCCGAAATGCAGCTGGCAAGGCAACGTTTAATTGAGGGCCTGGCCGATTTTGATGAGGCAATCATGGACGAATTCCTGGCTGAGAATCCTGATATTCCAAATTCAATGCTGAAGCAGGCCATCCGGCGCGCCATTCGAAGCGGAGACGGACGGGTCATTCCGGTATTCGCTGGCTCTAGCTTTCGCCATATCGGTGTTGAGCCATTGATGGACGCCATCACCGATTATCTGCCAAACCCAGCAGAACGACCGGATGCTGAGGTGCGAGTTGGGTCCGCCAAACACGGGCTTCACAGCGTTTTGGACAGCAAGGGCAAAAAGACAGCAGCAAACATTGCCTCTGTAGCATCCATCTTCAAGGTCGTCACTCATCCAAAGGAAGGTGTCATCAGCTTTGTCCGAGTCTACCACGGCACCCTAACTCGTAATGCTTCGAGTTTCAATACCAATATCAACGCCCAGGAGCGTCCCATGGGTATCCTTCAGATATCGGCATCAAAAACACAAGATGTGCAAGAGCTCACAATCGGGCAAATCGGCGCTCTCCGAGGCCTGAAGAAAGCCCGAACTGGAGATACGTTGATTACGACTGTGGGCGGCAAACCGGTTCCAGAGCATCTTCGCCATGTCCAGATTCGACCTCCTGAAATCCCACCTCCGGTGGCATTTCTACAAGTGGAACCATATGGGAACGTCGCGGCGCAGGAGCTACAGACGGCGCTGGAAAATGCTTCCAGAGAAGATCCCAGTCTTAGATGGGGCCGAAACTCAAAGACGGATCAATTCACAATTCAGGGAATGGGCAAGCTCCACCTGGATGTGTCTCTTTATAACATTAGACAAAAGCATAGGATCGATGCTGAGTTTGGTCAAATCGAGGTTGACTACAAGGAAAGTGTGACTCAACCTACCAAACCACAGTACACAGTCTTTGATAGACCGGTCGCCAGCAAACCGGGCAAGGCTGCCTGTACAGTAATATTACAGCCTATTGATGAAGAAAACCGGCACGCCCTCCTGGAATCTGGTATTGAAATAGACGGCAATATTTATGAGATTGAAGTTCCCCAGTCGCAGGAATCGTCTACTTTGGCCTTTGACGTGGAAGAGGCTCGACATCAGCTTCTTAACGGAGCCATTGCTGGATTGGCACGGGGTCCTCGCCGAGCCTCGCCGGTTCACAGCTGCCATGTCAAGGTCAGTCTTGACACCTCTGAGGGCTCACTCGAAAGCCCTACAGGTGGGCATTTCAGCAGTGTCGCCAGAACGGCGGTGCAAAATACGCTTCGAGACGCCTTCGACAAGCAACAGATTGGGGTTCTAGAGCCCATCATGCTTACGCACATTACTTGCCCGGAAGCGACGGCCGGAACCGTCCAGCACGACATTACAGCTGGCGCCGGCGGGCAAGTCCTTGAAGTCAAGGATAGGTCTGCCGAGTCCATGGGCGACGACTTGATTGATGTGACCAAGATTTACGCTCCACCCGATCCGTACGACTCAGTGACGTCTCTGAGGGGCAAGAGGTCGACGGACAGGATGGTCGAGATTGTAGCCAAGGTGCCATACAAGGAAATGCTAGACTACGACGACCACCTACGAAGTAAGACCGCTGGACGCCATTCCATGACCATGTCTTTCGACTCATTTGCGAGGGTGGTCGGGCACAGGGAGAAGATGTTGTGAGCTACCCCGTGTAGATGTGTATGCATGTATGTGTATGTGTAATATTTAGCCTTTGTATGATGGAACAGAGATGTCCCTTGATGAACATGACAGTGTCATGCTCAATGCCTGGATGATGGCTAGGGTAGTAGTATATCAATGCGACAGCAGTGTTGTATAATGTTGCTAGCCGCGTCACACGAGTATCCCGAGAGGAGAGTGAAGGTGCCACAACAGTCGTCCAAGAAATGTACTCGATGCAGGATACAACAACAGCAACAGAACGTATGTACACTATTCCCTGCTAGTTTACAAAATTGGCTGTTGATGGGCATCTTTCGACCTAGCTCACGATGGACTAAAAACATTGCGCGCGTGAGGTGTCATGGCGCCGATACGAGCAAGAGAAATACTCGTCACCACAATTCACGAGACCATGGTCGTACTCGAGCTCTGATGTGGCCACGAAGCTGCCTGCCATATCGAGGAGCGTGCCGTTCTGGTATTCCTATGCAACGTCTCAGAGCGGATACAACATGGTAAGGATATGTACAGATCTCAATACTAGGGAACCATGAGGCTTGAGGTCAGCATGATGATCGTATGCATGGATCGCTGGGCATGATGGCAGTCTTTTGATTCACTACGCCACTTGTCAATACCGCACCCCATCGGAGTGCATAAATCTACACAGGCCCCTAATATTCATGTCAAGGCCGAAATCATTTGCAACGCATATTGGGTTGGTCGTCGGCCTTTCTTCGTGGTTGCCTACCCTAAACAGCCGTTGTGCCGGACAACCGGCTTGGAGGGCATTTCACGGTTCGTCCATCGTCTCGCGACAATGTGTTTACTCTGAGGCTGGAATGCGGCACAAACAAGCTTCACTGAACTGGTTTGTGTACATAGATACTGTGCATGAATAATTATGCTTCTTGTACGGAGTACGGAACAAGCCCATCATGGCTAGGGAGCATCATCATGGATGATCATGCGGTTGCATGGTGACTTCGAATGTTGTGCTAGTCAACTCACGTGCGATATTCGTACGACTTGTGCGTGGAGATGATGGTTGTACAATGGTTGTACAATGGTTGTACGGAGTACGATTCCGATTCCTTTCCCTTTGCTCAAAGCCTGCACTAGGTCAAAGTAATGGTGCAGGTCGGGCCACCAGCAACAGCATCATCATCTACAAAGTTTTCGGAGCTGGGAGTTTAGGCTCAAGCCTATGTATGTATGTAGCACTCCGCATCCTGGAAGGAAACGTTGGATTTGTGAAAATCGACTATTAATGCATGGCAGCGGAAGTGGAAGAAGCCACGTATGACGCTTCAAGACGAAAAAGCTCATATCCTGTTCTTTGGTTCGCCCAAAAGGACGAGGTTGCCTCCGTAGGGGCCAAATCAGGGAACCCAAAAAGTGAATTGCTTGGGGCGGCGACAAGAATTGACTCATGAAAAGATGCCTGTAGTATTCCTCCACAGCGATCGGAGGGAAGAAGCCAAATGACGCATTCGATCCAGGGACGTAAAGAGCCGTCCCAGGCAACAAGGGAGCATGATTTGGCCCGAGCATACATAGGCGAGACGAGCCGGTAGGGTCGTGGGCATTAAATACAAGGATGCTGCATTAATCGCGTTTGTGACGGTAGTAATACTCGGCAGTCTCTGTCCTTAATCGGCTGCAACCACGGCCAGGCTGAGGGTCTAAGAAGAGGAATGGACCCGGCTTGCCAGTTTCTTTTTTTTTATGAGGTGCCCCATCATGCGTTGTTTATTAATTTCTCTCCCCCTTCTTCCCAATCAGGACGTCTCGGAATCATAGCGCGAATAGATGTCTCAGCAATGTCAACACATGCCAACGCGCTTCAGGATGTAATGTGGCTCACAGTACGGAGTATGTACATACAACCAGACAGTACTCTTGACAGAGCTCAAGGCGCCATCACCACATGTTGAGTGTGGCCCAGGTCAACAGAACTAGTAGTTTAGTTTAGCCAGGGACAGTCCTGGACAGGACGCAGGTGCCACAAGCAGATGTCAGATTTTTGCCAGATTTGCCAAAACCATCGCGTGCGTCTGATTGGACCGATGGCCCCTGCCCAGGGTTGAAAGTCTGTGCGTTGGCGGCGAATGATAGGGCCATCTTGAAACAGTGCAATTATCAGAATTTCCTTTATGCTTCCGAGCCCCGTCCAGTGTTTAATTGCGTTCCTTTGTACATGAGCCCGCAGCAACAAGTCGTGACAGTTGAGCGCTCGTACAGAAAGACGACTACCCTTAGTACCCAAGTAGGTACGGAGTAGGTAGTTACTAGGTGGTTGGTAGGTAGAGCTGCTCGAAGGCGTGGACCGGCGTTGTATGTACTCCGTATGTACGTGTGTACTCGGGACTGATTATTATTCCTTGTGTGTCGTGGTTTGGGCCAGTGTAGGGCTGTCCTAAGCTAGATGGACAGGCGCAGGCGCAGGAGTCGAGGATGGATGGATATTCGATGGATCAATGGTGGGCGGGCCGGCGCATGTTTTTGGTTGTCGACTTCATTTCCGGCCAACCCATCTCTGCGACCCGTGGCTTTGCCCTCATTTCGTTTTGGCCGTTGGCGCCACCTGGTTGGCCAGCAACGGTCTTGTACCTGCGTCGTTCCTGCCTTAGACCGCCTTGCCAGACTGGGGGAGGCGCAGAGCTTCCCGCCGATTGGCAACGGCCCGCAGACGTCTCACAGTCAGGCCGCCACACTTGGGGGCACGGATGGAGCGCAATTTCACCAGCACTCGCTTTTCGCGCCCCCCCGCCTTCTTCTCATCATCCGGCCTCGAGCCTGGCCTCGGACACAAACAAGGCTGCTGGATGCGGCCCTCCAGAAGTTCCTCCCAAGATGGACGCCCAATCACCCCCCGGGTTCCCCGTCCCCCCGTCTCCCCCAATTCTCGATTGGGAGTTGTGGGTGGCTCGAGGTGCTCAGCTCGATATTGCCGTCTCTTGGCCCTCACTCCTCCTCCTCTTTGTCCTCTCTCCCCATCTCCAGAGCTTAAGCCCGTTTGCTAAACTCCTGATGCCTGGTTACTGAATTCGCTCATTACTTGTTCTTTCCTTTCGTCCTTCCTTTGACCCTCGTCGCTCATTACTAAATTGACTGTCTAACGTCAACGCCGCTCTCTTACATGGAACCACGTCTTCTCTAGCAGTAATATAACGGATAACAACTCGAAACAAACGGATCGCCCTCCAACTGAAACGTACCCTCGTCGTTGCCAGGTGCCGCCACTCTCGAAACGGATCAGCATTCGACAACCACGCGACGAAACCTGGCGCTCAACGTCCCAGTCTTCGATAGACTTTTGGACCCTTGTATACTTGCCAACGCCCTCTCAACTTGGTCCGTCAACTCAAGTCATACAACATCATGAAGAGCCTGATCTTTCAGGTCATCCTTGGCACAGCGGCCGTATTCATCGCTGGATGCGATGCCACCTCTCACCATCATCGGATGCACCAGGCGTACCAGCGTTTGGCTCATCCTCACGGCCATGTTCACTCGCGAGCCGAGTCCAACGTCCTAGTCAAGCGAGGAACCTGCGCCTTTCCTACTGATGACCCCAACCTCGTTGCTGTCACCCCTGATCAGAAGAATGCGGGATGGGCTATGAGCCCTGATCAAGAGTGTAAGCCAGGCAGCTACTGTCCTATTGCCTGCAAGCCCGGCATGGTTATGAATCAATGGGATCCGGATTCGACGTATACTTATCCTGCCTCTATGAATGGTGGATTGCATTGCGACGACAACGGCAACGTCAAGAAGCCTTTCCCCAACAAGCCCAACTGTGTTGAAGGAACCGGGTCCGTCAAAGCCATCAACAAGTGCAAAAGTCACATGTCCTGGTGTCAGACTGTTCTACCTGGCAATGAGGCCATGTTGATCCCTACTCTTGTCAAGTCTGAAGCTGTTATCGCTGTTCCTGGCTCTTCGTACTGGCAGAGCACTGCCGCTCAGTAAGACTTTCCCTTTCCCCATGTATATGGAACATATTCATGCAGATAGAAACTCGAACTGACTGATTCAGCTTTTACATTAACCCTCCTGGTACTGGTACCGATGGCTGCATTTGGGGCACTGAAGACAAAGCCATTGGTAACTGGAGTCCCTACGTTGCTGGCGCCAACACCGACAGCAATGGCCAAACTTTTGTCAAGATTGGATGGAACCCTATCTGGGAATCATCCGGCCTCAAGGGGACGAAGCCTGGATTCGGCGTAAAGATTGAATGTCCCGACGGTGGCTGTTCTGGCTTGCCCTGCCAGATCGATCCGTCCGCTGCCGAGGGCAGTGTTGCCAGCAAAGATGCCGCTGTCGGTGCCGGTGGTTCTTCTTTCTGTGTCGTCACTGTTGCCAAGGGCAGCTCTGCCCATATTGTGGCCTTCGATGGATCTGGCGGTAATAAGGAACCACCCAAGCAGTCTTCATCTGCTCCCCCCCCTCCTCCTCCCCCGCCCTCCACCTCCCAGCAGCCTACGACGACCCAGATCCCTACGACATCGTCTACGCCCCCTAAGCCAACCACCACCAGCGTCGCGCCGACTACGACTTCTCAGCCTACCACGACACTCGTCCCAACAACTTCGTCCTCGACATTGACGACCTCATCGTCATCCTCATTGTCGTCGTCGTCGTCATCCTCATCGTCAACAACATCATATGCTCTTCCTACTCTCATCCCTGGTATATTCCATGAAAACGGTACTTCGTTGAGCAACTCCACGACCACATTGGCGTCGTCCACAGCCCCCACAACTTCGATAGCCGAGACAACCGTCCCCAACCTCCCTATTCCCACCGAAAAGAAAGGAGAAGCTGGCCGGCAGCAAGGCAGTGCAGCTGTGGCCGGCCTCGTCGTGGCCCTCGTCGCAGCCGCTTGCTTGTTCTAGCTGGAATAATCTCTGTCTTGACGTTTGTAACGCTTCATGCTCATGGCCAGCCACATCTTCTCTTCGATGTCAAATTTTTGACCGAGTATTTACAACCTACAGAGCATACCGATCAACTTTGTCAATATCCTCGGTTGAGCTGCTCGTCATTTTTCAATTGTTGGGATCAAGCTGTCCCTTTTATTGTGGCTGGCTTCAATTTTTAGTAATTTTATCCGCGAAAGGCATTTCTTTATACCCATGACCGACTTGGGCTCCCTCAAGCGTGCCATTTGGATCTTAGCTTCATTTCTTACTATATATCAAACCGAATCCTATCGGCGATAGTGTTTATTGTCTATTGACACCTCTATCGGAGCCCATCGTATCTATTTTGCGGTACACGTTCGCACACTCTACATTTTCTTTTCTTTGAAAAGTGCTCTCTGCCTTTTCACCCATATTTTTCATCGATACCCTCTCGTGTCGGGAGATGCTTTCACATTTTTCGACTTCGGCCTTTTTTTTGACTGCGGGAAACGTTTTGTTGGTGGGGATTGGAGGTGTAAGGATACAAAAGCGTTTATTTATTTTTCAAGGGATATGATTGATGCATTTACAATCTGTATGGTAGCGCAGATGCTTTGGAAAATGGACGACGATCCTTGGGATAACTAGCAGCCTTCTAGACGTGCCCTTGCAGCCAAGTTCTCCTAGCCTTGCGTAACCTCGAGGTTGGAAAAGGAAAAACTTTGTTATTTTCAATATATAGATGAGATTCTTATGCTATGAATATGCACCCTACGGCGCCATTGAGCTACTTCGGGGCTGGTAGATGACAGCATTGAATTGGAATTCTCTCACCTTGTTACTTGATGACGTAGGGTATTTGCGTGATGTAGTAAATGCAATGTAATTCTCATCAAGGGGTATCTTGCCCAAACATAAATCCAGCCATGTTACAAAAAAACTCGGAGCACCACCTATTCTATTCGTGTTGTAGTTTTGACACTCACACCCACGCTGACACTCAACCCTTCACCCACCCAGGCACCTCGTTGATATCAAAATCTTCCTCATACCTCCTCTCCTGAATGGCCTGCCAAACCACGGGCCACCCCGCGACAACAGGGCCCTTGGCCTTGGCCCCTATAATCGCAAACCTCGCCTGCCCGTGAGCCACAAACCCATGCATCAGGCCCTGCTGCACCAGCGTGGCAACCACCATCTCCACATCGTCCAGCGTAATCTCTGCATTGCCCCAGATCAAACCCTCATTTGGGCGGAGCTTGGTCGGCCCTCGTGGCGGAGGAACAAGCGTCGTTTCCGCCGACTCTTGGACGTTGTTCGTCACGGCCCTCATAAACAACGGATTTGCCTGCGACGACGGCCTGCCCCGGGCGTTTGGATGGTAGTGGATCCAGCCTTCTAGTCTGCGCTGCACGTAGACGGCCGCTGCGTGCAAGTGGCTGATGTCGAGGGTGGCTGCTTTTCGGGAAGAAGCGTCCGCGGGCGGCACATAGGTCAGGACAAACGTCTTGCGAGCCAGCGAGCGCCATAGCAAAGGGCGCAGGCGGTGCGTCAGAGCTAGCAAAAGGCCCTTTTCGAAGAGCCACGTCTCGTGGGTGGCAAGGTGGTGCTGGAACTGGATAAAGTTTCCGGAGCGAACGGCTTCACAGAGCGGGACGAAGACGGATTTGAGCGTGGCCGCTTCGGGCCGTTGCATCAGCAGGTTCGAGGGGAAGCGGCCGAGGAGAATGTTGCAGGGGATGAGGTACGTCAGGATATTGGTGCGGTGGGAGACGAGCGGCGGCGGCGTTTGGAGGTAGGCCTGCTCGAGGCACAGGGCGGCGCGTTGGTAGTGCTGGTTGGACAGGTTGAAGCGGCCGAGATAGTAGAGAAAGGTGACGCGTTGGGAGGCAGGGTAGAGGGATAAGGGGGGTGAGATGGTGGATATGTTGACGAATATCATCTTGGCGAGGTTTGTTCTTCGACACTTTTTGCCAAGGTGTGTATTAGTCGCGTGTTACTCCCGTTTGCTTTTCCTTGCTTCTCTTCTTTGCAGATGCATTAAATTTTGACAAAGGAGAGAAGTGAGAGGTGAAAAGGGCCAAGGACGGACATACTGCGAATAAGAGCTTCAGGACAAGATTGGCAAACATGTACACGCCAACCTTTTTGCCCTCCGGCACCCTTCCCACGGAGCGATCCGTCAAACACGTGGTGAAGATCTTTTGGATAATTTCCGCAGACGACTCGGCGACGGACTTACCGCCGCTATCTTCGTCGACAGAACGGATGCGCCGCGTAAGATCAGGGCGTCTGTTGAGCTGGAGCGTGAAGCGCGCCAGGGTTACGGAGAAGGACATGCTTGCTTGCAGAAGCATGGCTCCGTAGGTGGGATGCGTGAAGGCCGTGCCGCAGGAGCTTTCTGATTTGTTAGCAACTCGGCCAAACAAAAAGGTCCAAGAGTTCCATGTATGCTGCGCGTGGCATGGGGGTGAGTTGAGTGCGGAACGGAACAGAGCAAAAACTCACTTCACCAACGCTGTCAGCAACTCGTGCGTTCCCAGCAAGTCGTCATAATTGATATCCCGCCAGAGCGTAAGGTAATCCTTCATAAATGACTGGAAACTCGGCCATGCTGCTGCCTGGCCATCCGGCACGTCGTCGTCGACGGGCAAATGCGTGTCGATGGCGGCTTCTAAGCCGCTGGCTGTGTTGAACTTGGCACGCAGCTCGGCGGCCATGTCGTAGTAGGATTTTGCTGAGTTGGGCTCCACTTGCAGCCAGGCGCGGAGGTTGTCGCCTTGCTGGAGACGCACATACTGGTTGATCTGGGTGAGGAATTGGGCGACGAGGGACATGGTGGGCAGCTGGGGTGCTGCGCGTGATGTGAAGGTGAGTGAGGTTGGCAACGTGGATGTGAAGGTGTGAGACGTGAGTGAGTCGAGGTTTCCATGTCTGGTTGGTGGGGACCGACGACTGGATGCTCTGGCGGCTGGGGACTCGAATGAACGAACAATGGAGCGAGGACCGTGTAAGTCGTCGCATTGAAGCCGACGTCGTAGCAAGTATACGAAAGCCAATATTTTCTCGTTTCTGTTGGGCAATTGCTGCGTTTGGATGCGAATCTATTCCAAGCCGCGAAACAGAGAAAGTCGC